ATGTGGGAGGGAAGAGAAAAAGAGGAGTCAGGGAAGACTTCAGAGCTTTTGGCCTGAGCAAACTGGAACAATGGAGACACAACTGACAGGGGAGATGGGTGGAGCAGCCTTGGCAGGGAGATGGGTACACATCAGACCCCAAGTGATGACATCCCAGCAGAATGTCGTTCCAAATCTGCCTTTACCAGCAGAAGGAACAGGCAGCAGGTAAAAATTTGCTTTCTATTCTTTAGTCAGTGCTTCAGGAAGTAACAAAAATTAGAAACATCCTCAAATGGCAGCTGGTGGGTCGAAGCCTTTAAAATAGGTGGTTCAGCCGGTGGCTCTACACAGCTACGTTTAGGAAGGCTGGCTGCCAGAGATAAAGGTGCTCAGGCAAGGTTTTGAAATGAGGAATGGCAGGTGGCAAAAAGACTTCCCCTCACTCACTGATAATGTCAATAAGGCATTTCTTCTGTCTCAAATGCCCTACTATGGTGTATCACAGCAGTAAATCCTGTTTCTTGCCGAGCTTACATCTACGATTCAGAGCCAAAATGTCACTACTTTACATCAAAAATGAGGTATCAGATTCTTCTGAGGTTCAACTGTGGTGCAAAGGGCGTGGCTGCTGGCAGTCTGGAGTATCCCCAACACTTGATGTTTTTCTTCATTCTTCAGAGATTTTATTGGGCGTATTTTGAAACCCCACCCAGATGCTGCAGCAAAACATGAAGGAAGAATGCTTTGTAGGGCTGAATGTGAATCAGTGGCAGAATCAGAAGTACATTTATCCCTGTTGCCCAAATTGAAACAGTCAGCTTTCTAAATTTTGAGTGTGAGATAGCCACCAACCTAACATTTTACGGAATGCTGGGGTTTAGAATGAGGGATCCCTCCATTATTTCTGGATCCTAATTTTATTTGACTGTCTGACAAAGTCAGCAAGCACTTGCTCTGCCGCTCTTGACATCCTGTTATTTAGAGTTAGGATTTTCTAACTTGTTGAGAATAAAAAATGAAATTGTCTTTAGGACGATTGCCAAATGGATTGGCCTCTCTTATAATCATCCTTCTTATTCATGTGAAAGTAGTAAAAATTTTAAGATATTATGGTTAATTTAATTTTAGATTTTTAAAAACAGGCCTAGCATTGATTATGGAGGCCTGGTCGGCATTAAGTGGTCGCTGGAGGCCAAAAGTTTGAGAAACACTGTCCCAGGCAGTGCTGTCCTTAAGAGCAGAAGCCACAGTTTACCTTTGTCCTTTCCTTAGAGCCAGCATGTGACCTGGCACATAGTAGGTACTTTATAAATATTTGATTAGTTTATTTAAACATTGGATAGTCTTCATGGAAGAAACAGACGAATTATCATTGTTCCTTGCCTTACCCTCAAGGGACTTACCTTCATCTGGGGCGAGCTTGCAACTTTTTCATTTCTGAGTATTACACTCTCAGTTTTCTCAGACATCTCAAGTACTTTTCTGAGGAAAAACCAAAAACCACAAATCACAGTCCTCCACAACAATTCTGCCTTAACTCCTTTGGGAAACTACTAACACTGATATTTCTAATTTGCTTATATAGCGTGGACATTATATCAAATTAAGAAAGCGGTTGAGGCTCAGAGCCTGTAGCTCCATGGTTAGGGCGCCAGCCACATACACCGGAGCTGTGGGTTTGAACCCAGCCTAGGCTGCCAAACAACAGTGACAACTACAACCAAAAAATAGCTGGGTGTTGTAGCGGGCACCTGTAGTCCCAGCTACTTGGGAGGCTGAGGCAAGAGAATCACTTAAGCCCAAGAGTTTGAGATTGCTGTGAGCTGCGATGCTATAGAACTCTGCTGAGGGCAACATAGTGAGGCTCTGGCTCAAAAAAAAAAAATAATACAGTTGATAAAATTAACAAGCCAAGATGATTTGCATGTGGCTTGCCATCAATTAGGAATTTTTTTTTTTTTTTTTGAGATAGAGTCTCACTATGTTGCCCTTGGTAGAGTGCTGTGGCATCACAGCTCGAGCAACTTCAAACTCCTGGGCTCAAGTGATTCTCTTGCCTCAGCCTCCCAAATAGCTGGGACTACAGGAACCTGTCACAACGCCTGGCTATATTTTTTTT